GTGGCTGTTTTGTTTCCCATTTCGACCGATGCTAGAAATGTTTCTATCAGATGTTTGTCTTCTACCTTTCTGTTATGTCCATCTTGGTGGGTACTCTCGGGTGCTTTGTAAATTATCAAGTTCTTTTTTCTTCTTTTGTCGTCTTCTTCTTCTCTTTTTTGCTCTTCAGATGCTTCCATTATAATTTCTTTTAGTGGCTTGACTTTCTGTTGTTGGGCCACGTCCCATGGTTTCTATTCAGTTTGATTCATATTTATGCATGTTGTACAAAGGTGTTCATGACATTTATCACACTCCATTACTTTATCATCGATGTTACCATAAGTCTCATTGCACGTTTTACATTACCAAGCGTCCATTTCACTCACAGATTCAGTACCTCTACGTCTAGTTTTTTGCTTTGGAAGCATTTTAAGTTTGAGTTTATCAGGCAGCTCTAAGTCACTTAAGTCTCAAGAAGCTACCTAATGAAATCAACTTCACAAAAACTACTGGGCCACTCTAAGACACTGAAGTCTCAGGAAGCTACCCCGTAATTTCTCCTTCAAAAACACTAAGCCCTTATCTGATTTTGAGAGTTTGTCTAGAAAACGACATTATACCTAATTTTTTGAGGTTCAGGGTACCGGAAAATGGGGTGTTTTCGAACCAAGCGGTACACAGTTTTCAGACAAAACTTCTAAGAACGGAGATAAACAAGGCAAGGACAGATGAGAAAAACGTTGAAGTCAAAGTAGAAAGAGCGAGAGGCGCAGTACAGAGGGGTGTAGATGAGAAGTTTTGGCCTTCGGTAACAAAATATTTAAGTCTTAGGGGACAAAGACAAACAGCAACAGTCAAAGAGACCCATCAGAAGAAGCTAATGAAATAATCAGAAAGGCAAGACCGACCTCTAGGGAAGCAAGGTGAGGGTTCGGTAAGAGCTCTTGTTGATGTTGAATTACCAAATTGGGTACAACAAGTGTTGGCATTAGGGCCAAAGCATCCCGTCAGGGATAAATTTAATGAGACACACTTTCTCGCCGACATTGACATCTTTCTATCGGATCTCAAAAATTGTAAAGTCCCCGGGGAGGCCCTTTGTGAGATCGAAGCTGTGGCAAAAGCCTATGCTAAGAGGGTGAAATAAACACCTTCTGACAAAGGCGTTGAGAAGGCCCGAAAGTATCTGAAGAGTAATGGATTAGTTGCGGTACCGTATGACCAAGGCGTGGGTTTTTGTTTAATGAGAAAGGACACTACGAGAACAAGTTGTCGAATACATTAGATTCAAATCAATTCAGCAAAAGTAAAGGAACAAGTGATGCGATTGTTTTAAAGATAGAAAGAGACATCAATAAGGAGTTGTTGGCTATGAGGAAAAAAGATGAAATAAGTGAGAGTCTCTACACAAGGATGAGGTCTACTGGGGGGCAGCCCGCCAGGCTTTATGGGTTGGCGAAAGTGCATAAAGTGAATACCCCATTAAGACCGGTCCTCTCCTTGCCTGGTAGCTCTTATTATAACTTGAATAAAGTTCTTGCTAAATTTTTCGAGAAAATTGAGTGCGCAAACATCGAAACCAACTCACTAGATGCGAGAGAAATCTTAGAGAGCACTAATCTTGAGCCCAATGAAAACTTGATATCTCTAGATGTGAAGAGTTTGTACACAAATGTTCCCTCGAAAGAAGCGATAGACATAGCTCTGAGAAAACTGTATGAGCAAGATGAACCACCATCATTTGCTAGGAAAACCACGAAGAGACTGTTGAACATGGCAGTTATTCAAGTCCATTTCAAGTGCAATGAAACATGGTACGTTCAGAAAGATGGTTTGGCAATGGGGGCATCTCTTGCCGTTATTTTAGCAAATCTTTGGCTGAAGCAGTACGAAACTGCACTATCAAAGGATATTCCCGAAATGTTTTTGTCCGAGAAAGATCTTCACGGAATATGTCCCGAGTGCAATAAGAAAGTCACGTACAGGTCAAAAGGTGTAGAATGTGAATGCTGTTTGAACTGGTATCACGTAAAATGCGGTGATATATCAGATGATGAGTGTCGAAATATAAGTGAAACCGTCTGGTACTACAGAAAATGCATCGCAATAAGGGAGAAAAATAAGTCAGGGCAACTATCTAAATTGTTTTTCCGTTACGTTGATGATATAGTGAGAACAGTGAAGGGTGATCCTGAAAAAGTGCTACGGGCTGCAAACTTACTACATCCAAATTTACAGTTCACAATAGAGACACCAAACACAAACGGAACTTTGTCATTTTTGGATTTACAAATTACTATTGACAAAAGCAGGAAAATTAGCTGTGGGTGGTATCAAAAACCAACAAATACAGGTACCATACTCAATTTTAGAAGCTGCGCCCCCCTTCAGTACAAGAGAAGTGTGATTGAAGGAACTGTTCACCGGGTTTTCCGCAGTACGTCAACATGGGAAGAATATGATAAAGCCATGAAAATCAACCGTGAGCAGTGGTTGGATAACCAATATCCGAAAAGTTGGTCGTCGCGGGTTGCATCCCATGCCCTTGAAAAGATCATCAGCGAGGGCATAAACAAAAAGAACATGGCTGACAAAAAGAAGCCCTGTGATTATAGCAGTGATTCACCACCCATCTTGATGGTCCAATATAGGGGGAATCACAGTCAGACATTAGCAAAAAAAGTGCGCGATATCACCAATGCGCTGATAATATTCACGACGAGGAAATTGAAAACTTGTATGCCTCTCTAAAATCCTCCTTTTCCAGTGAACTGAAATCAAAAGTGGTGTACAGACTTGAATGTTGTGGGTGCAAATCCATCTATGTTGGCCAGACGGTCCGACATCTCACCACAAGGAATGAGGAACACCGAAAAGAGGATACCCCAGTTGGACAGCATATAAGGCAGTGTGGTAGTGAGCGTGGTAAGTCTGAGTTTAATTGGAAAAAAATCGACCAGGCGTCCAGCAGCATCAAGTTACTTACATTAGAGGCGCTGCACATTAGGAAAAAGAGACCGGCAATTAACACGCGCGACGAGTTTAGAAGTAGGGAGCTGACACTAAGGCTATAGTTCCAGAATCGAAAAATTCTGGCTAAAACAACAACATTTTGAAACAACTTACATGTTAGCATAAAAATTAGCCACAAAACGAAAATGTGAAAATAAAAATGAAGAAAACTCTCAGAAGTTTGTGACAAAATGTTTTAAAATGGTACATAATAGTTGTTACATAATTTCAGTGATATTTGTAAAGTTTTGATTGGTTGAATTTTTAAAATTTTGAAGTAATGATGTGTGTGACACTTTTTATGATCTTTGATCTTTTTGTACAGATAGTTTAGAATTTTTAAAACCTGAAAATGCACAAAATGTGCGAAAACATTTGTTTGAATTTACAATTTTAACGCATTCTCAAAACATCTGATTATTACTGAGCCGCTCTAAGACAATAAGTCCCAAGAAGCTACCCTTGTAATTTCAGAGAAAGCTTCTCACTTCTTATTTTTTGCTGTTCTTTTTCTGCCTTCCTTTTGACGTTGACTGTTTCTTTGACTTCTTCGTAGCAGACTTTTACCGTTTCTTCAGAACTAATTTTTTCAAGTTATTTCTACTTCTGTAGACGGTTCTGATTAGTCTCTGCAATAATCAAAGACGGGTGAATTTGCCTTAAATCTCGCAAGATTCTGCTGTTCTTTCTCTTTCTTGTGGATGATAACTTTTTTACTGGGATAATGAGGATGTCTAATGTTCTCAATCTTTTGAGTATGTCTGTGGTGTTGGTTCGTTTTGTGTATACTATTGCTGCGATCCGGTGACGCAGTCCGTGGAGAGTCGAAAGCAGTAGTTCTACTGAACAAGGTTTCCCACTGTTGCTGTGGTGGGGGGCCACAGTATTGTTGATCAAGTCGTGCCGCAGAATAAGTTTGTCTTCGTTCTTCTGGATCGACTGGTAGTTCTTTTTTGTGGTCTGGTTGATGCTCAATCCTCCTACTGATGTCTGGATGGGGAATATTTTTCGTTGGAAGTTTCTAGGGGATGCGTGGATGGCCGCATGAAAAGAGCTTCGCCAACAAAGTGCACCATAAATCTTCACCTGCAACACCTAGAGCAGCAGGACTTTTTGCTATTTTCCGTTCAATAATGCGATTTTAGATTTAGCTCTAGGGCATATATCTGAAAATACCCAGTTTGTATACGGGGAAAGGAAATCTATTTTTAAGTTTATCACAACAATTAGGCTAATGTACCAATTAACTATTAATTTATTCTTGTCTTGCGTTGAAATTTTTTTGTCTGATCTATTTTATATTCCTTCAAGACTTTTTATACATCAAGGTGCCCAAGAGAAAGTTTTAACTGTTTCGATTTAAAATTTTAAGTGTTTTAATTCTGATCGAAAACTCCAATTATTATAACCTTCTGGCACTAAATCTCTTAAATTTTCTTGTCCAGTAGCTGAATTTTGTTGTTTTTGCCTTGCTTAACACGATTTTTTCATGGGAAATTTACTTCTGAACCAATCGTTATTTAATTTTCAGCTCTGGTTTTTTTTCGAAAGTTTGAGAAATTTGAACCTTTTCAATTCAACATCTTCAAGTCAATTTTTCAATTTGAAAAGTAAGTTAGAAAATAGTTTTTAATAGATTTTTTAAAATCCTAATGTGCTATTCATAGTTGGTTTCCTTGGTTGTCTACTGAGCATTTTTATGCAATGCATCCATGTTAAAAACGTTTGTTATAGGCGGACTGAAGTTTTTGCTTGTTTTGTTTTGAAATTTTTATTTTCTGCTGGTAACGGTTTAACAAATTGCGATACATTTTTCAGTTTTCCATATTTGACTTTCCTTTTTCTGCAAACATTAATTGGATTAAGAGTATCGATAAGTTCTTGCTACCGAGGCTCTCGTGGACTTTTGTCGCCGATCGCTTAGATTGCGCCACTTTTTATTTTTTTAAAAATGAGTCATGATGGTGTTCAGCATCTTTTCCAGTAAACGATGTTTGTTTGTTTTCAGTTATTTTGTCAAGGATGGTAACTTCAGTGAACCCTCATACTCCTGCCGTGCGCTCGCAAAATGGTGAGCAGACGAATGACGTCTCTGTAAACGGTGAACTGACTCCGAATGAAATCGGCATGGAATTTGTGCGGCAGTACTACACGCTGATGAATGAAGCACCCGAACACCTGTACCGATTGTATTCAAAGGGAAGCATGTTTGTACATGGAAACATAACTGGCAAGCACCAAAATCCAATCGTGGGTCAAGAAGTAAGCTATATTTACTCCAAGCCAATCATAGGCTGCTAAGCACCTGAAATTTGAATTACTTGTTTAATTTCAAGATAATTCTAAGGGCATTGAAAACTTAATTAAAATGTTTTTTTTTTCAGAATATCAAGGCTGAAATTGAGCGTCTCAATTTCCAACACGTATACACAAAAATTCGACAAGTTGACTGCTACTCAACGCTGTATGATCTTCTCATTGTGCTCATATGTGGTAAGTTTTGCGGTCTAATATGAGAAGTTGGAGTAGGATTTTAAAGTAGCGATTAAGAACTAGTTTAGATAATGCCAAAATTTTTCCAAGAAACATTCAATGTTGCTAACTCAATAATTTTGTATCATTCATCCATATGATTTAATCAATAACACTTTTGATATATCTGTAACTTACAATATAAGGCATTATCAAAAAGTTTTTAACATGACCAAACAAAATTTATTTGAAAAAAAAATGTGTTCAACTTTTATATCTTCTACTTGAAACTTTTAGGCGACATCTCGATCCTAAAAACACCGGCTCGACGCTTTGCACAGCAGATTGTGTTGGCACCACAAGGACACTTGAAGTACTATGTGGTGAATGATATTTTCCGCTACATCGACGAGGGAGATGATCACATTGACAATGATATGGGTTTGTTTGTTTAGCGAAACTAAATATCCTTGAGCGTCAATGAAATTTGAATGTGGTAAAAAAATGACAGGCTCCCAATAAACAGCTTCGACCATTCTGGGTTTTAGGAGGCAATTTCTTGTATTTTGGCGCTTTTGTTCCAACCATATGAAAAAATGGGGAGGAGCTTTGAATTCGGGTGTTAGTTTTTTTCTGTTTTCCTGGCTAATAATCATCGGAGAGGAATGAGTGATATATCATATTAAAGCTCTTTCAGTCGTGATTCAAACTATTTTTAAAAGTTTCGAAAATTTTTCCCAGTGTGAGAAAAGCCGGCTTAAAATTTTCGTACAAATTCGAGCGAGCACGCATATTTTTGCTTAATTTAGGCCGTTTAAAGTAGCGTAAATATGCTAAATTTTAATATTACTGAAATAAAATTAGTTTTTGGAGATTTTAAATGCCATTTTAGGAATTAAAAACTGGTCGGATTTTTAAAAACTGGTCGGATTTTTAAAGACTGGTCGGAACGTTTTGTGCTATTTGCACTGTAACCGGCTATCCTTGTCTATTTAAGTCATTATGCATGCCGTCGGTTTATTAATAAGACAGTATATTTGAATTATTGTCTATGTAAATTGTTTAGAAACCGAATCTTCATCGGAAGGAGCGGAAGAGGACATTGCGCAACAGCTGCATCAGCAGCGCCAGCAAGTGGCTCCCGAGGTTCTGACCGGTGCCTCCAACGACGTCCACGTGCCGTCCGCACCCCACGTGATGCCCGATCAACATCAAATGATCAACTCTGCAACTGTTGAGTTGATTCGACAAGACATTGTTCCAAATGTCGACCAAGTTGGAACTATGGATCCGGTTGTTCGACCAGGAATGCAAGTGAGTGTGGTAGACACTGGTATGCAAGGAGGGCATGTGGATGAGACTGCTAATGTGCAACACATGGCGACTACTGGCATGATACAGGGTGTTCTGGCGCAAAATGGCACAACTGACACGACTATTATGGGCAGCTTCAACAACGTACCACAGCAGATGTTAGCGACTAATTTGACTTTTTTTGCTATATATTATGGTCAGTTTGCTTTCAAACACGAAAGTTAAGTAGTTTCAGTGACAAATCGTAGTGTTGATGAACTCTTTTGATCTCTTCAAACAGCTACACAATAGTGATTCTTTTTAATGAGCGGCACAGTTCTTATTTTGTCTTTTTTCTTTGGAAACCTTAATTGTTGTTCGAAAGTGTTATTATTTTTTTGAAAACTTTAATACCACTTTCTGTTCGACGCTAAGTTATCCAAGTTGCTTATGCAGCGCATTTTTGACTGTTCAAATTTTGTTTGCAGTGAAGCACACCAAGCAAACAACATAGGAGGAGGTGAACCCAATGGAGTTGTGGACTCATCCTCCTTCATGCAACAAAAGGTAATTTTACGGAATACATAAGACGTGTTTTTTTTCATTCTTTTATTAATCATGAATTCATTTGGTCTAAAAATGTAAACTGCCTTTCTAAAGAAAGGACAAGGAAACGATGAAATGTTTGATGCTGCTCCACCTGAAAATCACACTTCAAACCAAGTGGCGCCTTCACACACCGAGGAGCCACCACAAATGAATCAGCCTGATAATTCCTCCGATGTCGGCATCTCTATTGCACCGCCTGTCGAACCAGGAGTGAAAACATGGGCCAGTATAACTGGAGCACTGAGTGGATCGCCGGCTAAAAAGTCCCATAACGAACCGCGAATGAACCACAATCATTACCAGCCACCACCTCAGCAGTCGTTCCAGGTCCAACATGCGAACGCTGAAAGCTTTGGAACAGCCCATCCGCCGAAACCCCAGCGCAATTCAGGAGGTGGTAGGAACCAACACGGGGATCCCAATCTGGTCTCGCCTCCGACTGAGCCTCGTGCTCCTCATGAGCGCCGATCGGGCGGAGGAAGAAACAGCGGCGGCCAGTCTTCTGGTGGAAACCAATCCGCGGGACAATCGCAGCAAATGAACATCGGTACATTTTCTCCGAAGAGCGAATCACCAAGTACGAAGTTCCAAGGAAGTGGAAGCAATCCCCCGTTCAACAGGGCGGGAGGGGGAGGTGGAAGTGCTTCCGGAACTTTTGGAGGGCCTAACAGTTTCCAGCAGGCTCCGGATGATTGCCAGATATTTGTGGGCAACCTTCCAACCGACGTGCACAACGAAGAGCTGAGAAAGCGGTTCTCAGAATACGGAGTCGTAACCGATGTGAGAATCAACAGAGGCGGTGCAGTGGTAAGTTTCATTGGACTAGTAAACTTGATAACGGATATTTCAATTGCCTTCAAAAGTGAAATGAAATGAAAGTTTCTGGTCTTTTTAAGAGTCGATGAATGTAATTCAGTCTCCTATATAGGTACGATGATTTTTTTTCAGGAAAAATCTTAGATTTTGCTCACGCTCAATTTTGGCTTTCCTCTTTGTAAATTTTGTTCCGTTGTGTTTTTAATATTCAAATGTCTGGCTGGCATGTTTGCCTAGAATTAACTTCTAATGAGACATACAAAAATAGAAATTTGGTAGACTTAGTTTTTTGAACTTTCAACTGTCTTTTTCACGCTCAATTTTGATTTTCGCGGTTTGACTTGTGGTTTCTTTTTAAATTCAGTGCATTTCCATTGTTAAAAGGAGGGCAAACTCCACTATTGAACAGCAAATGTGTAAAGGTCACGAAAACCGCGAACGACTTCTTATTTCGAAAATGGAATGTGTTTATTAGATTTCTCAGCGAAATAAAAGTTTCACCTATTGACGCAGTTTTCTAGAATTGGATTAATTTTAACAAAAAGGTGTCTATATTAAATTAATCTACAAATTTGAAAGAGCGTTTAGGCCATCTATTTTTTTCTCGGAAATTCAAAAGTTGAAGATTTTTGAAAAACCAGTCAGTTTTTTTTTTCAGTTTTGTTGCGTTTATTACTCTTTTCCAACTGTCAGTTGGCTATGTTCTAGATTATAGTCGGATAAAAAACCGTTTAAAAATGCTTTAAAGGTGTCGTTTGACCATTTTTTTTTATCAGAGAGGTGTTCTCAGTGCCAAAATATCCCCGTAAACATCAGAAATAGTTTACACTAGCCATTAGTGTAGTGTATTAGTACGAACCTTCTTTTTTTCTAAGTCAACTTTCAAATAATAGTTTTAATTGAAAGTGGAAAGTGTTCTTTTATTTGGTGCCATTTTTGCTGTAGTCACGATCTAGCATTGGAAATTTCATAGCATATGTTCTCTGCTTTATTTGTGGCTAGTATTTTTTGATGTATTAAGCCTCCGTGCCTGAGTGGTTAGTGCATGAGACTCATAATATCTAGGTCGCAGTAGGCCGCAGATTGAATCCGAGGTCTAGTGGAATTTCTACTAGTTCGAGGCTTAATTCTAAACTTTCTTATTGCACTTTATTGCTTTTTGTCGTGTTCTTGCTAGTGTTTTAGAATACAAAATCCAATCAGCTACGAAATAAATGTTGACTCTAGTTTTGGGGATTTTAGTTGCAAAATTGCTGAATTTTAAGTCAACTGCTAACTAACAGCCTAAACAAAAAATTTATGTTTTTAAGAGTAGTGAACGTAGTGAAGACTCTTATATAGGTCTTGGTGATTTTTTTGTTTTCTTTTTAAGGAAAAGTCTTAAACTGCTCTAATAACTACAGATGTGCATTCATACATATCAATGCATTTATGAATGCACTTAGATATTAATGCACTTTTTGAGTTCGATTGAAATTCATCTACTGAAACTTACGTAAATAGCACTCTCCAAATACGAACGTGGAAATGGCGCGAGAAAACGTGAACGATTTCTAGCTCCGAAAAAGGGAATTTATTTTTCTAGAATTCCAGCGTAGTAAAAACTTTATCTGTTGATCCAGTTTTCTCAAGTTGGGTTAATGTTACCAAAAAGCGCCAATTGTAAATTGTTCAAGAAATTCGAAGGGCTTGTAATTTTTTTCTTTGAAATTCAAAAGTTGACATTTTTTCAACGAAATCATGTTTTTTTCTTTTTACTTGCGTTCATTAATCTTTTCCAACTATTAGTTGGCTATGTTTTTAAGAGTAATGAACGTAGTGAAGACTCTTATATAGGTCTTGCTGATTTTGTTTTTTTTCCAGGAAAAAGTTTTAAAATAGTAATGCTTTTAGGTATAATGCTTTTTTGAGTTCAATTGAAATTCCTCTGCTGAAAGTGACGTAAATTGCACTCTTCAAATACGAATAAAAACTTTACCTGTTGATCCAGTTTTCTCTAGTTGGGTTAATGTTATAAAAAAACGCAAATCATAAATTGTTCTAAAAATTCAATATCGTGTAAAGGGCATCTATTTTTTCCTTTGAAATTCGAAACTTGGGATTTTTAAAGAAAGCCAGTGTTTTTTTTGTTTTCTTGCGTTCATTACTTTTTGCTTCCAATCTTCGATAGGTTAATGTTTTTAATGAGAAAACAAACTTATATGAGGGTGTTGCTTAGATCCATAGTTTTCCAACGATTATTTTAAATCCCAAATTTTCAAATTGCTTTTTGCACTGAGGACACCTCTTTGACACTCTATGATTAACTGGATATATGACGCCTTCAAAACGTTTTTTCTTACTGTTTTCATTCAGTTCTAATCTGGAAAACAATTTCATGCATCAAATGTCAAAGTTTGAATGGTTAATCCTAAGATGTTATAGATAAAACGGTGCGAGCGTGAAAAAAATTCGTCGCCTGAAAACTAAAAATTGCAAGTTTTATGTCCTGTAACTGTAGTTTCCAAGTGGAATTTAATTTTCAGAATTTTAATTACTGATCCATTTTTTCCCAATTTTATCATAAAAGTGCTAATCAAAAATTGTTACAGAAATTCAGAGCTTAAAAGACATCTATTTTTTCCTTGAGATTCCAAAGTTGAGATTTTTTCGAAAAACAAGTCAGTATTTTTTTCTGTTTTATTGCGTTCATTGACTCTTTTCCAACCGTCTGGCTATGTTAATTAGTTAGTCCGCCCAAAAAATTCAACAACGCATAATTTTTTAAATGGACGCGCTGTTCAAATCATGTTTGAGATGAACACGTTTAATTAAGTTACGATTAATTAGATTCGAGAATTTTCATTTCTGTTTTTAATATTTTTGAATTTGAGCGAAGTAAGTAAATTTGGGCGGATTAAGGCCTTAAATTTCGAGAAACTATGAAGCTAGTTGTAACCGTACAAATAATGTCTCACTTGTAGGCCAAAACTTCATCAAAAGCCGATGAAAGTGTTTTACAAAGAGACATCATGTCAGATCATAGAATGGTTACCGCTTGCTTATGGTTAAGTTGAGAAAACTTAAACGATTAAGCTAGCTGTGCATTCAAACACAACCGTACATTCATGCTGTTCATTTCTAGGAATTGACTTGAAGTTTTGAATATATGAGGGTAAGATGGAATGTATGAGTCAGATGGTTGTGATGGTTTGAATTGAAGGCTTGTGTTTTTTAGCCGTTCGGGTTCGTTGTGTTCGACAGTGTTTCGCCGGTGCAAGCGATTCTGGCAAAGACTCAAGGTCCAGAGAGACAGACTCTGTTCCTCCGAAACGACAAGCACAGAATCAACATCGAGGAGAAAAAGCCCCGCGGTGTTACCGGCGGAGGCAACATCAACAGAGGCAGTGGCGGAAGGTATCCACCGGGCGGACCCGGAAAGGCCCCTGGACCTCGGGACGGTGGAGGCGGAAGCAACAATAAATTTTTCAAGTCCGGATCCGGACCTTCAGGAGGAGGTGGGGGTAAGAACTCGGGTGGGGCTTCTGGCAACAAGTTCGGAGGTCAGTTTTCAGCAGCAAACGCTTCTGGGAGTGCTTCGAACAACAACAGCAATGCTAATATCAACAACAGTAACCAAATGCAAGGCAACAGTTTTCACAACGCAGGAGGCAGGCGATAGCAGTGACTTGTTTGTTTGTTTGTTCTCCATCGCTGAAATGTGAAAACTCATGTTTTTTTCTCCATTAAACTGTAAAGTACTGAAGTATTGCATTTTTGGAAGCGGCTATCAATAACAAAAAATATCAAAATTGCAGGTAAAATCATGGCGAGTTATTTGCTTATAGCTTTACTAATCAACGATTAGTGAAGCTGTAAGTTTTCGAAGCCAAAATGAGATATTTTTCATTTCTCTGATTTCACGAATGCAATATTTCGCCTCTTTGAAGTGGGAAGCTGGACCCGATAGATTAGATTACTCACTTGTGGTGAACTTATGGCGCTGTGCTCCCGTAGTTACGCAAGTTACATGCAGTTAGTCAGATACGAATTGCTTAGAAGATGTACTTACTATGTTCTGTACGATGTAATGTTAGAGATGTAGAGAAAATGTCTGTTCCTTTTCGCCCGCCGTACTCGAAGTGTGTAAAAAGTGGTCACCTGCTTCGTCTTTGTGTTTTTGTTCACTCGCCGCTCGGCCCGAGATCGATTCGATTCGGCTTGAGTTGTCGCCGCCTCTCTTCAGTCCTTGTTTTCATTCCCACCTCAATAATGATGCTGATACAAATTATACATACCTTCTCAGTTTTTTTTACTCTAAAGGACTAAGTACATTTTGATTAGACAACCTGATTAATTCATATATAGCCATTGTTTTCCAATGGATAATTTGCAAGAGTATAAAGATTATCTCCTCTTAAAAAATACTAATGCAAGGGTTCAAGATATGCGAATACTGAACATAGCAATAAAAACCTCAAATCAATTTTAAGGATTTCTAAATCCACAAGAATTACCATTATTTTCTTACTTAAAAATGGTTTCCTTTCGAGTGCTATAGTTGGCCTCAATCCCAGTGTTGACGCCAGCTGTCAGCCCACTTTGTTTCTCATGTTGCTATTTAATAGTCACTGCTACATCATAGCTGTCCATAGCTGTCGTCCTTTTTTCAATTCCAACCCATATTAAGTGAAACTCAGGCAGGTAAAATAAACGCAACCGCGGCCCAAATCTCATTAAAATATCATTTTTGATCTTTTTCTAGAAAATGCTGATATTAGTCAGAAGACTGATTTTTTTTTTTGAGTTGAAAAACAATTTAGAAATAGTAGAATGGTTTTCAAGAATTAACTTTCAGGTTTGGTTTTTAGTGTCATCATTGAAAGCACGTGAATATGAAAATTACCAAAGGTAACGCTAATTATGTTCTGGGAAAAGTGGCCTGCCTGAATTGAGCCACGACCATGAAAACCATCGTGGTCCATACATGTGATATGATCTAATCGCCAATAAAAAAAAAGATCCTTGGGGGTTCGAACCTCCGTCCTCTTCTCCATCCCACCACAGATTAACTATTTTTGAATACTGTTCACACAACTACAATACAAGTTTTTCAATCCTATACCGAAGCAAATTGAAGAGATGTAATGTGGAAATTAGACGCCAAGAATTTGTTGTAAATATTATGAACTTATTGTCATTCAAAAGTCTTCAACTTGTTTCAATTTTTACATAACATTTAGAAAACGCATTGCATTCCGTCTTTGATTCCGTTTTTTAACGAAATATCAAAAACTGTAATTATGTTTCTAAAGTTGAAGCAATGCGTTTTCGTTGATCTGAAATCTTTCCGCCAATTCAGTCTCCTCGTTTTTACGAATTCACTAACTCACTTCATCCTAATTGCTGATGCGAGCTTAAAACCAACAGGCCCAATTCTCAGATAGCCATTTTTTTCAAATCTCCGAACTTTAAAAAGAGTTTAACTAAAATTAAACAAGACAAAATTCTGTTACGACAAAAAATTAAAATTTTTCTACTCAAAATAAGGAGTTAGTTCGGAAAATTATAAAAATATCTGAACGTTTTGTCGGCTTGTCGAGTCTTCGGTTTGTTGGTCAGCTGCTTGTTGATGCATTTGAAATGCCATCTTTGTGATCATGATTTGTTAAGCTGTAAGTAAAAGTCAATTTAAGAGTTCCTATTATGCAATGGTTGTACCTTGTTGAGATTAAGCGAGATAGATGACTAAATGATCTTTACAATAGAATTTTGTTTGCGGTCTTTTAAAAAGTTTAAGAATTTCGTCCGAAAACGACAAGTTATGTACGTATCATTTGAGAGTGGAAAAAGGTGAAGGCTCATTTGTACCAATTTTCGTTTGTACCAAAATGACAAATCGGTCGCGTTAGGACCAAAATTTTTCAATTCGAATTCTGATTGGTCATTAGCTGATATAATGATTAGTTAAACTAATTTAAATTGATTGAAATAGCGTAAAAACAAGCAGCTGAAGCATCGAAATAGTGACAAACATGGGAGCCAAAGTTGCAATCTTACCAACAGAGAATAGGTTTCTACATGAAAATTATAGTCCCCTATTGCCACAAAGCAGCGACGCGAGCGTTAACCGAGGAATCGAGTTAGTAGTCTTTGAACAATTGAACAGTTTTTGGTACTACTAAGATAGTGTAGTTCAGACTCTTATATAGTGCGTGCTGATTTTTTTCTAAGGAAAAATTTAATTTATCTCGGTGTGAGTTTTGATTTCTATGTAAATTCAATTCATTTATTTTGTTTAAAGAAGGGCGAACTCCACTATCGAACAGCAAAAGTGTTAAGATCACGAAAAACGTGATCGAATTCTCCACTGCTGATTTAACGAATACAGCTTGAAATTTATAACACGTTTTTGCAAATTGGGTTGACTTAAGGCAAAAATTGATTAATGAATCTTGATCAAAATTACAGCAGAATTAGAATAGTGCAATTCAATTTTGCGAAAATTGTGACTAATTTTTTGCCCTAAAAACGCTCAAATTTGGCTTTTTTGTAGTTAATCAAAAATGACGACAAGACTACCATATCGATTTCTGCCAAAAGTATTGATTTCAGCTTAATTTAAGAAGGGTATTATCTACTAAATTTGATATAAATAAATTTAATTTAGCCTAAATGCAAAGTCATTTTTCCCAAATGAAATACACTATTTTTATTGCAGAATTTAGTCTTTTTTGGCCGTGTTAACAACTTACATAACAGAATCTTTTGAATAACTTGGTATCTTGGTTGATATTAAATACAAATTTGGAAGCGTCTCCGGTACCCTTAGTATGAAATAACGAATACGCCTGGAACGGCAAAATACATCTAACAACAGAATCTATCAGCACATGTTTTTTCCCAACGGGAAATTTTCCATTGCACAAAAAAATTGTCGGCTCTCATTTGTCTGCTTATGTTTTGTTGTTTTAATTGTCATATGTCGGCTTATTTGTCATTTTTCTTATGAAGTGTTTCTCCTAAGGTATTTTTGGCTTTGCTATTGTTTGTTAAATTTTCTGATGCTTATTTCTCATTGCATTGTTTTGGCATGTTTTTTTAAACTAGCCTCATTTTGTGATATATCTTGTTTTTTCGACTTCGTCGATTTTTTTTTCAAGTTTTTCTGACTTAGCGGCTTTCTTTTTCTGTATGGCAAGTGGTGCGAAATTCAGCTTCGTCTCTGTGTAGAGTTTTTGCTGCTTGCAGTTTTCATTGTAATTGCTTTTAATAAATTCCTTTACTACTGCAACTTGTAATTCTACTAGCCTTGATTTCGTTTCTTAATTTTTGTTCGCCTAAGAAGTTTTTCGGCCTACAAATTTATGATTTTTTTTTACTCGGATTGCTAACTTAGTTTTAGGTCGTTCGAGGGAACCATAACTTGTATGCTGTCCTCCAGAGCGCGCAAAACTTCATACCTCTAAGAACAGATTTTTTTTCTTCCGGTAATTGGTTTTGAATTTTCATTAAACATCTTCAAATTGTTTCTGAATGTGTTTTCCGCTAATAGAACGTCATTCCAGACATTATTTTGAAGTTTTTTAGTTGTGATTTCTACGAAAATATTTCCGTTTTCTTTGGATTTATCCTCAACGTTTAAAAATAAATATTAATTTGCTTGCTTTTTTTGGAGACTCTACAATACGAGGCCAAACTGTGTATTTGTGAATTTTAAGTGGATTCGAGAACAAGGCTATCCTTTTTGTTTTTTCTTGTTCTTTTATTTTCTTTGATCGCTACGACAAAGTTTTAACACGTTAAAGACTTGTCTATCGAATCCAGGAACATGCCGACTCAAAATTGTGCGCCTATCCAGTAAACAGTTTGGTCTCGTAATGTACATATATTTTTTTGAGCTACATAAGAGGATCAGTTTGATGAAGTTTAGTCAGAAATCGATGAAGTAGTTTTTGTGTAAACTTTGATTGACTAAAACAGCCGAAAATTTTGGTCCCGAACTCAGCAAAACCAATCGCTCCATATTAGTTCTGCTGGTATTTTGAGCAAAATTTGTCTAAATCCAATAACCCAATTTGAAAGCAAAACTTTCAAAAACTATTTGTTTTGTCCGTATAATTTAAATAAGCATTGCAATTTTGAAAGTTGACTTCCCATCAACATAATAAAGTTGAATTTTGATTAAACGCGATTAGAGAATGATATGAAACTGGTTTTATGATTTTTTCCTAAAAACAATTTCTTTAACTGTAGCGATGCTAAAATAATCATTTGTTTTCGGTGCAGCTAAAGTAGGTACCTTTAAACAGAAACAGGTTTTTAAGAACACTCATAGCAGCAACTAGACTTTCCAACTGAAACTAACTTATGAAATTTTCAAAGAATTCGAGAAAAAAGATTGATGCACTTTTTCCGGGTTTAATTAGTGTCGGCTATAACTTTGCTAAATTTCATTTCGAAATTCAAGTCACTTTGTTTTGAAGATAAAGGCTTGAGTAGTTTTTTTAGTTAAAAAATTTTTTGCAAAGACATGCGTTTATTTTGGTTCAATCGCTTTTGCCAAAATTTTTCGTTTTCGTAGTTCACTTTCAAAAGTATTGTGATTAAAGTTTAAACGACATGAACTTCAAATGAAATTGATTCGTTCGTTTTCTTGAAACTGGCAGGAAAAAAAAGTATTGCATGATTTTGACCTTTTTTTTTTAAATTTGATTTTCAAGAACTGAAAAATTTTCGTTTTCAATTTCGGCTATCACGAAAGGGCTTTTTGCCAGTTTTTTTGTTCAGTAAAATTGTGGAAAGTGTTGGTGATTTTCTCACTCAGAGCAAGTTGAGTCGTATATTTTGTGTCAAAAATGTTCAAAACAGTTTCATTTGATATCAAAAAAGAGGAAAACCGTAATGCCCATAATCATTCTATTCTAAACATTAGTTACGAACAAAAACCATGAACAATTTTCTTCCGAGAATCGACAAAACAATGCTTTGACGTCTATATGCCGGAAAAATACTATTGCGAGACCAGCCATTTTAGGATTGACTCATTTTTTTATTAGTCTTGGAAGGGTAATTTATTTTTGGGCAAAAAAAACATGAAAAAACAATAAGAACTAAAAGTCAAAAAGTTTTAAAAAAAGCAACTTAAAGGCTGCGAATGCTCAAAACAATAAACAATTGTATCAGGTTGGACATGGCAAAAGGCCGAGCCGCCCCTGGGCGAGCCTTTTGCCTAAAAAGGTGTCAATGGGCCAAATGTTTTGAAAGTAGAAAACATTGCGCACAGCTTGATATGACCGTTTAGCAGTGTACTCTGATTTCTAAACTGACTGTGATTATATATTATTTCATGATATCTTACCATGATGATAAGATTTTGTTTTGCTTTTAATTGTGTCAATCTTTCTGTGAACCATGTTTTAGCAATCTAATAAATTTACTTTAAACAATTGATTACTACCCTAGTGAAAACATCTCAGCACTTTTCGAAAAATTTTGAGTTTAATTAGATGAAGGAGAGTGGAGGCTTGAAACTAATGTGTAGGAAAACTGAAAATAAAAAAAATATAGTTACAGATTAAAGTTTTGAAATCGCAAGGCACTTTTATTAATGTGCTCAGCTTTTATTTTTTTCCTGGGAAAATCTTAGTCTAAAGTCTGAAAACAAAGAGCGAAGCTGTTTAATTTTTTTTACTGCTTAAATCAATTAAAAAGTGGGAAAAGATGATACAGTGATGTTCATACATCTAGGAAGTCGAACCATACATATTCTGCATTAAACTTCCATAGATTTTTTCAAAAGATTTTCTTTTGATATAAAAAAAAGGCAAACCGTATTGCCCATTATCGTTCTAATCTGAATATTAGTTACGAAAAAAAATCCTAAACTATTTTTTCCGAGAGTCGCCAAACATTGATTTGACGTCAATATGCCGAAAAAAAATACTATTGTGAAACCAGCCATACTGAGAGTGACTCAATTTTTATCAGGTTCAGGAGGAGATTTTTTTGGGCAAAAAAGTTATGAAAACATTAGGAACAAAAAAGGTCAAAGAGTACGAAGAAGCAACTAGGCTAAAGAACACCAATAGCAGCAACTAGACTTTCCAACTGAAACTCACTTAATTGAAATTTTCAAAGGTTTCGAGAAAAAAATATTCATGCACATTTTTCTGGTTTATTAAGAGTCGGCTATATTTTTGCTGAATTTCATTTCAAAATTCAAGTCAATTTATTTTGAAGATAAAGACTTGAGTAGTTTTTTTGTAAAAAATTTTTTTTTGCAAAGACTTTTTTTGCATTTCTTTTAGTCCAATCTTTTTTGCGTTTATTTTGGTTCAATATTTTTTGCTGAAAATTGTCTTAGTTCCTTTTCGAAAGTATTCTGATAGAAACTAAAATTGAAATTAAAATGAAATTGTTTGTTTTCTTGAAACTTGCACATTAAAAATATTGCATGATTTTGAGCTTTTTTTTTTAAATTTGATCTTCAAAAACTGAAAGTTTTTTGTTAAGTAAAATTGTGAAAATTGTTGGTGTTTTTCTCACGCATAGCAAGTCGAACCATACATATTTTGTGTCAAAAATGTTCAAAACAGTTTTATTTGATATCAAAAAAGAGAAAACCGTAATGCCCATAATCATTCTATTCTAAACATTAGTTACGAACAAAAACACTGAACTATTTTCTTCCGAGAATCCCAAAACATTACTTTGACGTCTACATGCCGAAAAATATTATTGCGAAAATAGCCATTTTGGAAGTGACTCATTTTTGTAATC